CGCTCGCGCCTGGTGGAGGGGAAGCCCGGAGCCTCCTCCAAGCAGCCCGCCCGCGGGCCCGCCAGGCTTCCCCTCCGCCGCGCAGCTTGGGGCCAGGCGTGAGCGCCCGCGAGGAAAAAGGAAGCCGCAAGTTGCTGGGAAGTTGCTTGGGTTTCCGGGGCTTCCAGGCTTAAACTTTGCACAGGCAAAGTTTGCAGGCGGGAGCGTCTTCCTGCCGAGGAGTGGGAAGGGTTCTGCCCGGCAGGCGGGCAGGCTGCTTGGAGGAGGCGACCCGGCGGCGCTCCAGGTTTCCCCTCCGCCGCACGGTTCGGGGCCAGGCGCGAGCGCCCGCGAGGAAAAAGGAAGCCGAAAGTTGCTGGGAAGTTGCTCGGGTGCTGGGAGCAGGCTTTTAAAGTGCCGCCTGAGCAAAGTTTAAGCAGCCCGCCCGCCTGCTGGGCAGAACCCTTCCCGCTCCTCGGCGGGAAGACGCTTCAGCCTGCAAACTTTGCCTTTGCAAAGTTTAAGCCTGGAAGCCCCGGGAAAAAAACGGGGATCGGCGGGGACTCACCTTCGGAGAGGTCGCACTCGAAGGTGATTTCGAACTCCCAGCCGAGGCCTTTGCAAAGTTCTTTTCTTTCCTACCCCGAGAGCGCTCTGCACTGTTTTGTAGCTTTGGGAGCCACGCGGCACAGGGCAATATGCCACACCCAGCAATTTTTTTTCAGGGGCGGGCCGGATTGGACAGACCAACGGGCCGGATGTGGCCCGCGGGCCGTAGTTTGCCCACCCCTGTCTTAGAAAGTAAAAGAAAAAACAATGTTTCCAAGCCTCTGGGTGGCAGTGTTACAGATTTTCCTTCACTTTCACTTTCCCCCTCCTTTTCCAAAACCAAAAAAGTATTTTAATTTAGTAAATAATTAATTAATTAATTGAGTTTTTAAAAACTTAGGGGAAAAGACTAAAAAGGAATCTCTAACCTAAAATATTATAAAAGCAAGAAGAGAAAAAATACAAAGAGAAAAAATAGAATAAAAAAAACCAGTCCAGTTTCAAAGTAAAGAAGCATAAACAATCCAGCAGTAAAAAACCCCTAATTTTGACTTCCTGTTTAAAATCACCGCTTAACCACTTCTGTCTTCAATTTTACAAATTCTTTCTTTTTCTTAGGGTGTTCTCTCTAATCATAAAGTCAAAAAAAAAACAAAAAACCTCTCACCAAACTGACACACTTCCTCTTTCTGTTCCCTCCCATTTCGGAGCTGTCCCAGTTTCAGCAGCTTTGATGGCTGCCTCTTTGCCGCCGGCAAAAAGAGCTTCTCCTGATTTACCAGGGACTTCGCTGTGTCCCTGGGATTGACAGGATGTACTCTTTACTTTCACCATCTCTTCGGGACGGTTTAGGTCCAGGAGGACTGTCCAGCAACAAAGATATCGGCGGCGATCTTGGATCTTCAAGATCTCACATTGTGCCGCCACGACGTCAGCCCCGCCCTATTTGTCACTTTGAGGTACAAGATAGTAAAATAGCTCTTCTCAAGAACCAAAAATACACTATTATTTTTGTTACCTATTCACCAAAGCAAAATACAGGTCTCATGGCATAAACCCAGTGGGTATCTACAGTGAAAGACTGAGAAGGTAGATGGTGTGTGACTGTTTAACCCAACATGCTCCTCCTAATCCAAATCTAAACAAATCATATGATCACTTAGTACAATATATGATCCTCTCCTATGCTTTTAGTAATTCCTTGCCTTTAACCACATCAGCTATGGGAAAGAAACAGCTTTATCACTGGACTTATTTCTATGCAAACATGATAAAAGTTTATGCCTAAGAAGATAGGCATTTCCAAGAATGTATAATGTGTTAAGAATGGAATTGACCTTTTGGCTGCTTTTTTAAGTTGCGGAAAGTCACTTCATGAACAAAGAGGTAGAGAAGGGGAAGACCCCTTCAGCCTCAGGTTTCATCAAATGAGGAGTGAGTTTCCTGAAACTAATTTTTCCTATATCTATTTTCTTCCAGTTTGAGCAAATGCGTCGCTCAGTCAGCCTTACCAGCAACTTTGCAAAGTCTGTGGTAAACCTTGCTGATGTGGTGAGTGTGGAATACATTGCAGTTTTCTCCAAAAATTACATGCAAAAATAAGTTGAGAATGAAAGAAGGGAAAATCTAGCCCTATGCAAAGGATTCCATGGTGGGTCCCTTCTACAGGCCACCGTCAGGTACAAATAAGTGACTCAGTACATTGAGTTCTAGATCAGTCTCACGTATATGTAGTCTTAAATCCTAGCATCTCATTTTCACAACACTCTGCAGCTAAATGTGTAAGCACACATAACGTTGGCTTTCAAGTATCCACAAGAAAATTTAGACAATATTTCCCTCAGAAGTTTTCATATTCAGTACATGCCAATATATATTTGTGAAACGTGGAACTGTACAATCAGAATGATTAAACAGTTAAATATTTTTCAGTAACACTGTTTGAGAAAAATCATCCCTGTCTTATATTGTGATCATATTTCTAATGAAGAGGTACTACAAAGATTAGATTTAGAACATCTATTGAGAACTGTGAATGCAGCTTGTTGGCAATGTCTTATGCATATGCTGAAAGACTAGCATACCAAAATTGCATTATGTTGGATACCTCCTGGAGGAAAGTGGAAACAAGGCTGGTCTCAAAGAAGATTTTAAGATTATTCATGTCCCTAGGGATGATGCCAAAGATGCTGTGAATGATTGAAAACCACTTGCTGCCCAATGTGTTTTGCATAGGGCATGATGATCATGATCATGATGATGATGACGACATGCCAAAGGACAACTATTTTAATTCTCATAATTAGTTTAAGAAATGCAAATTTAATTGGTCAAACATTGAGCAAAGTTTTTTTTACTTATCTTTATATTCTATACGTACGCATCTTTTTTTTTAAATCAGTAAACAGTTTAAAGAAAGAAGTACAGACTAGGAGAGATAAAATATGTATTAAATGAGTAAGGGTAGGTAAACAAATTACTAATAGTAAGATATAAATAACTAAAAGTGATCTAAATTGCCTTGGAGACTACAGTTCTTCCGTAAAATATTAATTACTTATGAAATTACAAAATGTACCAGCTTTTAAAGGAAAAAAATAAGAATAAACTAATAAAAATAGTATAGCATAAATCAGTAATTAAAATTATAAGATATAATAGATTGAATTTAATTTCCCAAATATAGATTCTCTCCATATAAACCCCCCACATTGTATTGCTTTTTGTTTGAAATTTTTTTTTGATTCCTTGTATGAAAGAATGGGTAGACAAATTGTAAGAGTGTGCTTTGATGTCTAGAATAGATCTATATTTATTTAAAATATTTTTATTAAATTTTATTTCTTAAATTTAAATATTCAGATTTAATTTTAAACAGTGTTATTCAAGATTTTTTTCTTTCTCTGTTTCCAGTGAGAAACATGTAATTTCCATGTAACAAACACATACAAAACTAATTCAGTATCCTTTGAAGGATTGTATGAATTGGTAAAATTTAGTACGAATGTCTCAAATTGCAGCTAGGAATTCAACTTTTATAATTTCTTTAATTTTAATGGGAATTATTTCCCCAAAATGCTGAGTTATCAGTATTTATGTCAAATATGAAACAATACTTCAACCTCATTTTATTTTCAACATTTTAGTAAACAAGAGAGAAATAATAATGTCAACAATAAAACAACAGTTATAATATTATAATATTCCACTAAAATAGATATGAAAATAAATTGTGGGAAGGAAATAAACTGCTTTAGTTATCATTTAACTTCAAGGGTATATTTAGAAAATTATGGCTGCTTTGGAAAATGGAAAGGATAGCAATAGCATTTAGACTTATATACTGCTTCACAGTGCTTTTTACAGCCCTCTCTGAGTGGTTTACGGAGTCAGCATATTGCCTGCAACAATCTGGGTCCTCATTTTACCCACTTCAGAAGGATGGAAGGCTGAGTCAACCTTGAGCCTGGTGGGATTTGAACTGCCATACTGCAGGCAGCCAGCAGGCAGCAGAAGTGGCCTGTAGTACTGCATTCTAACCACTGCACCACTAGGATATCACATGTATGGAAGGGGGAAAGTAACCACCTAAAGAAAATCTATGTTTGGTCACAGATTTTTAAGGAGCAGTTGAACACTCGAATCGTGTTGGTTGCCATGGAAACATGGGCATCAGGGGATAAGATCCAGACGGATGAAGATTCCCTAGAGACACTGAGAGAGTTTATGAAGTATCGCCAAGAGTCTCTTCCTGAACACAGTGATGCTGCCCATCTCTTCTCGTGAGTTTTAAATGGGAATTGTGATCACTTTTATGCCACACAAATGCAAAATTAACTATTATAGTTCTGATAGTAAAAATAGGCTGAAGTAGAGATATTTGTAAGGGATGTTAAGAAAATCTATGCATGTAATGAATCTTTTCTTTTGCTGAACAAGTTGCCCAGAAGACTGCTTTGCTGGTAAGCACACATAATATACCTCCTGGTATTATAGCAAATGCAATACAGCTTTCTATTATATGTTCACTTCTATTTATATTCCTTTTAGACCTTTAGAATAACATAGAGACATTCATCACTGGTTAAGAGTATTAACTAATATAGTAGAAATAAGATGTTGGCAAAAAAGAAAACTTTGCCAGATTCTTTTTATACAGATACAGGTGAAACTCAAAAAATTGGAATATCGTGCAAAAGTTCATTTATTTCAGTAATGCAACTTAAAAGGTGAACCTAATATATGAGATAGACTCATTACATGCAAAGCAAGATAGTTCAAGCCGTGATGTGTCATAATTGAGATGATTATGGCTTACAGCTCATGAAAACCCCAAATCCACAATCTCAGAAAATTGCTTGTGACTTATGATTAAAATGCATATTCATTTGATCAGATATCAACAAAACAACAAGAAGTTTGGATTAATGTAGATCAGTGTATAAAATATGGCAAGCAGTGTCCATTTGGACTTAGTGCTAAGGTCAGAGTTTCTGACTGAAATGGAACTAGCTTTTGTGCTGGAATGTTGCTAGGAGTATTCATACATGAACATGCCTCCTCTCTCTTCTGTAGTTAACTAGAACTAATGAACACACATCTACCATAGTGAGGAACAAAGATAACAGACTGATGCAAAAGAAATGAATTCCTGCCCAATCCATACTCTTGCTCTATTTTGATAGTTTTAATTGTTCTAGGTTTAGTAAGTAAATGCCAAGAGGACAAAAAATCTAGCAGGTCAAGGCTATGTAGCTTTTTCTTCACCTGTATAGTAAATCTTCCTTCTTACTCTCTCAGAGGGCACACTTTTAGAAGCAGCCGCAGTGGTACAGCTTATGTTGGAGGAATCTGCTCAGTTGCTAGAGGCGGAGGTGTGAATGAGGTGAGTTGAGTTATAATGATTGGGGCTGGAGTTTAAAGATACAGAATTAAAGTCTGCATGCTCTTCCAACCGTATTAAATTTGTCTGTTCAAAAATCTCAAGTTCATTTAGATTTCTTTTCTCATTTTGAAACTCCTGAAGCTTTGAATATCACTTTCCCTTGTGAGATACTACTCTTCTACCCTTTAAAACCCTTTCAGAATCTTTTATTTTCTGTGAAGCCTTGTCTCCATACTCTAACTGAACTAATACCTGAGGTTTTTGCCACTACATTTGCTGACACACATCCCTTATGCTTCCCCCTTCCCCCTTTTTTTTCCTTCAGTCAACTAAATTTATATTATAAGACAATTGGGTTGGTGCTTCTCTTGTTTCTTTACATGATTCTACAAAGTAGCTGATGTATCTTTATATGTCAATCATAGCCAGGAATTCAGTGGTCTTTGCAGGGTGAGGAATATGTCCACAGAGAGAAAGGGCAGGTAACTTCCATGGGGCTTGTGAATAATCTGGGAAAGATCTGCCCTCAAAAATTTAATATTTTTATGATAGTTGATCACGCTATACTCAGGCTACCCAATAACTTGTTGTCCTCCTTCCCAAAGTATGGTACTGTTGGAGCGATGGCAGTAACATTAGCCCAGACCTTGGGACAAAACATTGGCATGATGTGGAACAAGCACCGCGCTTCTGCAGGTAAGTAATTGTGTGATGAGCCAAGTGCTTTCCTAATCTCAAGACATAATGAGAACCTGAGAATTGCTTCAACCAGTAGTTCTCAACTTTTTCTTCACCACAATGTCTTCTGTGGCCACAGCTCTCCAAGACTTCACTCAAGATTTAAATCATAACATTTCTTCAAGCCTTTGCGGACCCCATTAGATAACATGGTGGTTCCCTAGGGGTCTGCAAACCACAGATTGAGTCCAACAATAATTATGAAACTATGGTTTGCCTAAAGGACCTAATTTCAAAGAGATCTAGAGCCCAACAGGCACTTTTTTTCCAATAGATTTAAGAATTACTCTATTCCCAAGTTTTGTCTCCTGTTCTGAAGAAACTTGAAAAAGTAATTCTTAGGTTTCTACTCTAGTACTCCATTATCTATGTTGGGTTTAATATTTTTCATGCATCATGAACTTTTAAGTGTAAGTTGAGATTATTTCTTTCAGATCAGGGGTTACTTTATTCTCGTTTCCAATTTGGAAATCTCTACTTTAAAAGATTCTGAGTGGATAAGGTGTAACTGATGTTGGGGCTTGAATCTGGGTTTACTATGGCTATGATTTATGTTGTCAGTCCTCCAGATCTAATTCGCTTTTCTTCCACATCCTCTTTGTCAGTGTTTTGGGTGCTTCTTAAGGTCGTGATGATAGAATGGGTAAGCAAAGGCAGTTCTTTTGAGGTTAATAAGATGAACCTGGCTAAATAATAAAATGTTACTGCAAAAAAATTGCAGTTGATCTTTCTGGGGATTCCTAGTTAAATTTTTTCAACTAATTAACAGGTTTTGCAGATGTGTGTGATATGTGACAGATTATAAGTACCTTATCAATTAATAATTTACCTTTTTGGGGACCTTCTGAGATTGCCTGAAACATTCTCTAATCTGTCTGGTATGTAACTTTCATCTGCATATTGAACCTGCTTTCCCCCCTTTTCTTCATTCCAGTTTAAAACTACATTGGACTAGCTATTAATAAATACTATTAAGTCACCTGCAGCATTTTCTTTACTGAACATTATAAGCTATTAATAGTATTAGCTGGATATTGGAGGTAGTGTATTTATTAAATAATCCATATAGACTAACAGGTCACATTCTCAAGGAGAAAATGAAGAAGAGCAATATATTAAAAATAAATCCATTAGAATACATCATTACTTTAAAAAAGGAGAGCACTAATATGTGTACATGTAGAAAAAGCCTTTGATAAGTTGGAATGGGCTTTTTATTAGCCTTTTTAAAACAAACTAAATCCCAGACAAGAATTTAAAAGTTGGGCAGATAACAAACCAACAGCAAGCAGCAAGGATTATTGCAAATGGAACTTTTTCCACAAGATTTCCAGTAAGGAAACCACTGAGTTATGATGTTTACTTTCTCCCTTTGTAATTGGTTTTAGAAGTTTGGGGAGACAAAAGTTCGCAAGACAAACAAGCACTTGAAATTAAAATTCAGGGAGAGAATGCAAATTGAAATGTTATATAGGTGATGTACATGGCCATCTTCCAACATCTAGTTCAGATTTTATAGAAAAAAGGGTATAATCTTAACTATAACCTTTTTGTAAGGCTTAATCTTAGAATGGGATGTTTTATTGAAGATGAAGAAAATAAATAGTACTTGATTATTTCAGCTTTAGGAATATATGATTCTGGGTTACAATTTGAAATAGGGGATTTGGACACAATAAATATGAACTAGAAATAGAGAATGTATATGTCCCATAATTCTTTGAGAAGATCTCTATTTTTTTATTGCTCCTTTTCTCTATAGGAGATTGTCGCTGTCCTGACTTATGGCTGGGTTGTATTATGGAAGATACTGGGTAAGTTGTAGAAGAAGTGAGGATAAGGCCAAGGTGTTGGGTTAATATTTGAGATCAGGAACCAAGGATTTATTAAAGCATCCCCCAAACTGTTCAGATCTTAACTTTACATCTTGCTGGCAACATAAAACTCTCTTTGATTGATTATTGTTAAGTTCATCTATTTCCCTCACTAGCTGGCTTCAGAAGAAAGCAGGTAGCACTTTGTGTAGGAAAAAGAAAGTTACATCTGTTCAATTTTCTTTTTTTAATAATCTGACATCCACTACATCTGGTTATCTTGTCAGTTTTTGAATTCAGTTTTCTATCAGCCTTCCCCCTACCCTCCATCCCTGCTGTCTTTCTCAAAGAAAGGAAAGGGGATTGGTGTCACTAATAGACTCTCTGGGCCAGAGAACATCCCAGCTTAAGCCTCTGGCATGAACTGAAAACAAATTCAAGATGCAGATGTACAGTTATATTAATGATCTTGCATCTAGCCATATTGAGCTTACAAAACTTTTAAAATAATTTTTATTAATGATTACAATCATGCAGATAAAAAGTAATTGAAACTGTAAAATTAAGATCAAAAATAAAAAAAAATTAAAGTGCAAGAGAAAAGAAAAAAATGTAATTATAGCAGAAAAAAAGAAATATATATATAAAGAAATAGCTCCCTTCCTTGTCACAAGTATAAAAAATATTTCTAACATACCACCATTTTATCTTAACAGTTACTAACTGTAAGAGGAAACTAGGATTCCTAGTGTCCAACTATTGAAATATAAGCCAGCATTGCTTTAGCTGCCCCCAAACCCCAGAGCAATCTTAGACTGCATCAGCAAATCAAGATCACATGAAGTGTTAGTACAGTTTTATACTGCCTTGGTAAGACCACACTTGGAATAATGTATCCTGTTTTAGTCACACAATGCAAAAAAAAGATGTTGAGACTCTAGAAAAAGTGGAGAGAAGAATAACAAAGATGATTAGGGGACTGGAAGCTAAATGTACAATGAATGATTGCAAGATCTAGGTTTGAAGAGAAGGACTAAGAATGACATGCTAGCAGTCTTCCGATATTTGAGGGATTGAGAGAATTCACAACTATGTATACACTTATACTTATTATCTTGTAAACAATTGGCAAATCAAATAAATAAATAAATAAATAGGAGGTCAACCTATTTTCCAAAGCACCTGAAAGCAGGACAAGAAGCAATGGATGAAAACTAATCAAGAAGAGATCATACCTAGAAATAAGGGGGCATTTCCTGTCAGTGAGAGCAATTCATCAGTGTAATGGCTTGCTTCTAGAAGTTATGGATGCTCCATTGCTTTTAAAGAAGAGATTGGACAGCCTTTTATCCAGAATGGTATCGCTTCATCTCTTCAAAAAGATTTTTTTTTCTGAGTCTTTTGTATTTTAAAAATATTTTGTTATGGATTGAAGGTGATTCACCCTCTGTGATGTTCCAAGGATTCTTAATATTTAAAAAACAGTAAAAAATAATTCTAGAAATTATTCAGATATGATCCTAATCAGCAAAAGTCTATTGAGGGTTACCAGAATACCAATGTATCTATTTTAAATTTAATCCAAAAGCGCACTTTATAATACCCCTTTTCCTTTTGTATTTCATGCTTTATCTATAAAGAAATCCCCCAAACTCATCATCCAATCATAATACATGAAAACCCATTAGTTTTATTTTATCCTGCTCTTATTATTTTCATAAATAACTCAAGGTGACAAACATATAATATTCTTTTCTCATATTTTCCCACAACCTGTGAGGTGAGTTGGGTTGAGAGAGAATAACTGACCCAAAGTCACCGAGGCAGTTCTCATGCTTAAGGCTAGGTTCAGGAAATGACCACATATTTAATATTAAGATTACTTAAAATACTTAAAATACAAAATAAATTATTTTTCCCATATCTCTCATCTGAACAGAACTTTAAAACCTCTTTATTCAGTCCTGGTTAGCAACAGTCATTTAATGATTTTCAGACAATGCATCTGTTTTACCCATGATCAATAAACCTAATTTATATTTGTCCTGTTTCAGTTTAGCACACAAACACATGCAGGCAGTTGCTATGGGGATAAGCAGTTAATAATAGACCAGATTGTAAATCAGGGTCTGTGCAAAGAGACCTTGCCTCAATAAATTGCTTTGAAGTTTAAGAAGCAATAGAGGTGATCCAAATCCATTCCAGGAATCAGAGTCCTGAGTCCTGTAGACCAGGGATCCCCAACCTTTTCGACGCCGCGGCCCGGTTCCGACATCAGCTGGGCGCCGCGGCCCGGTACCGGCGTCAACTGGGCGCCGCCATCTTTTTATGACGAAAAGGCGCTTCCGGTGAGCTTTCTACCCGGAAAAGCTCACCAGAAGCGCTTTTTTACCAAAAAAAAGATGGCGGCGCCCAGCAACCAGCGGCCCGGTAAGGGTTGTTCCGCGGCCCGGTACCGGTCCGCGGACCGGCGGTTGGGGACCCCTGCTGTAGACAGCCAATCCAAAAGTCAAAAGTTCAAGAATAAGTTACACAGGAATTATTATCACAAGCTAAAAATCCAAATGGTTGTTTCCAATAAAGACTAAAGGGAAAGCAGCTACATAAAGCTATATGCTGCAATTATTCAGGCTTTGTCCTTTACCTAGTGAAAAGCCTCATTGAGTGGCTTTGGACTACTGGGGCTTGAGGATCATACCTTATCATGTGACTGCTCCATCTGATCAGGAGATTCCTATGATTGCTTAACCTCTTCAGATGAATCCTGGCTTGAAGGTTCTTAGGCCAACAACCCATAAGACGCAGCTGGACCAACATGGTCAGAATCTGAATCTGAATCCTGGCCCATGACAATGTTTCTTTCCCTTATTCTGTACAATTTTAGTTTTTAGTTCCCTCAAATAAGGTCTTTTCCCCTCATTTTCGTCTCCTCTCAGAAAATGTTGAAACTTTTATAGATCTCTTTCTTAGGAGTGATTTCCCCCCATTTTTGTTTTGTCCTTTATCACTGAATTTGTATGTTCATGTACATTCAGTATTTCATCTCCTTCCATATCATTCTTGTAACTCTATTGAATTCTACTGTGTGGTGCAATATTAATGCAATATTAGGGGTTTTAAATTCAATGTATGGAATGTGAAGGATGTGTGTTTGCATTTATTTTCATAGTCATAATGTACACTAAAGATGGTATTTAATTTCATTGTACGAGGTGCAATGACAATAAACTAAACTAAACTAAATTAAACTAAACTTGTCATTTCCAGATCCACATTTAAATCAGTTTTAGTTTTATCTAGCAAAACTTATTCCTCTTCCACAATATCATTTACAATCTGTTTATCTATAATAGTCAATATTTTTAAATTAAATATCTTATATTCATTGTTAGCATTCCAAGTAATGCGCCCATTGAAAGCAGAAGTCTGAGGCAGGTAGATTCCTCTAAGAACATGTTTATTGGGTACATCCTTTCGGCATAGCCAGTGAAAATCAACTCAAGTTTCCCCGCGGTTTTCACCTAATTAAAAGAATAATAATATTTTGCCCCTCCTCAGTGTCATTAATGACATTGTCCTATTGCATATGGCTGGCAGGCTCCTCTCCTTTACCAGCTACCTGTTACAATGACCCTGGTTCCCACAAGAAAACTTTTTATTTTGACTGCAAGCTAGGCTATCTTCTTCCCCGCTCCCCTTCTTTCTCAGGCAATTGTGATGGCTTCAGCCAGGTTCGCTTCAGAGTTGACAGTCAGACCTCCCCCTTTAATTGGAAAGAATTTCCTGAAAAATTAAATCATCTCTCCCTCCCTCCCTCTCCCATGAGGTGCTCTTGGGCCAGCTTGTGGGCTATCAAGAGACTGGAGCAGGCTACAAAACGAGCTTGCTTAGAGAAGAGGTCAATCGCTGCCCATATGACCGTGTTCCCCCACTCTCAGGAAGCTGTACTATAAAATCCATGGTTATTTCTTCCCATGGCCAGAAAGGGCCAGGCGCTTGCTGGAGCAGCCCTGGGGACTTCCCTGGTCATTTTTTCATCATGGCACAAGTAGCACAGCTCTTGACATAGACCGCAATGTCCTCTTTCATATTTGGCCACCAAGACTGTCCTTTGCCCAAGTGCAGGGTCTTCAGGAAGCCCAAGTGCTTCTGTCATGGCTCCTTTGCAGTACTTGGAGGCACAGTTTGTTGGGGACATACAGTTTGGAGCCCTTCCAGGCTAATCCGTCTGTAAGGGTCAGTAGCTCCTTGTTGTCTCGGTACCATGGATCATTGGGTACCTCAGTTTTCAACTGTTGAGTCAAACCTCCTCCCTCATCAAGTTTTTGCCTCTGCGCTTGTTGGCTGGTTGTAGCTTGGCTGGCTTGCTGAGGGGGAAGGCATCATAGCGTGGGCCACCTCCTCATGCTTGCTGTTATATTGTGGCATTCATGATAAAGCATCTGCCAAAAGTCCCCCCCTCCCCTGGATGTATTTTAAAGTGAAATTGAAGCGGTTGAAGTACTGTGCCCATTGGACCTGCTTTGGTGAGAGCTTCTGCGGGGTCCTAAGTGCCTCCAGGTTTTTATGGTCTGTCCATACTTCAAATGGCACTTGGTTCCCTTCAAGGAAGTGGCACCAGGTTAGCAGAGCCCAATTGACTTATGCTTCTTTTTTCCCACACGGCCCACCTCCTTTCAGTGTCTGTTAGTTTTCGGGAGGTGTAACCGCATGATTCCCTTCCACATTTTTCCGGAGAAGGATTGCAGCCACTGCTACGTTGCTGGCATAGTTAGTGGGTCAGTGGGAGGTGGGGCAGCGCATCACATTCTGTCTCACTGAAAACTTCTGTGAGGTCTTGGTATTCCTTGGCAACCAGGAGAACTCCTGGGACATGACTTTTGCTTTATTGCTCTGCTTAGTGCCCTCCAGCTGTTGGACAATTCCTTTCTCAGGGCTGATGGGAGGGGGCAGAGGGCCTATTACTAGCCTTAGCTTTGTTTCCCTCCCTTCCCATCAGATGGTAGGAGCCCATTTGTCCAGCCAGGACAGTCTAGGATCACCGCTTCAGTTATTGTTGGCACCACTGCAAAACAGTGTTTTCCTAGGGCCTGCCCATCTCTAGTCTCACTGGTTTTATGAGGGGTGTGGCAGCCCCCCCCCATCAATTTTCCGTTGCCTTCTTCGAATCTGATGGGTGGGGTCAGGTTAGGGCCCTCACCCTGATTTCTAACTTTAGGTCAGTTTGCAAGCTTAGGCAGCAGGTGCATCCCAAGTCTATTATGGTCTTTGCCTCTCCCTGGGTTCTGGTTTTTGGCGCTGTGATTTTTGAGAGGATGCCGAAGGGACAGATGGCTTCACTTACCATCCGGTCATCCTCACCCTCATTGTTGTGCCATAGGGCACCATGTGCTGGATGTTTTCTGCTGGAGATCTCTCCCCTTCACTGGAGGGGGGGGGAGACCTCAATGGCTTGATGGGCTAATTTTCCCCTCTCTCTTGACTGCTGAAGGGGCTTCTTCATCTTGGCAGGTTTTGGAGGCTTCCCCCTAGGTTGGGGAGCTGGGGCGAGGCATTCAGCAGCCCAGTGCCCCTGCTGGCCACAGCAAAAGCATTTGATGGGTGGCCCCAAAGCTCCTCTGGAAGAGCCTGTGGCTAGGCTGGGGATTGATCACTTCCCCAGTTGTCACTTCTCTGGTTGGGTCTTAGGCTTTGGCTCTGTGGTTCCGCGTCACTTGCATTGTTTTAGCTCGAGGTCCATCACTACTGCTACCTGGTAACCCTCATGGATCTGGTCAGGGACCCCTTGGAAAACCATGCATTTAGCAGCTCATGGTCCAGGCTCTCTTTGAAGAAGTAGACCAGTAGTCTCTCCTGCCATTGTTGCAGACTCCCAGCCACTCGGCAGAACTCTTGCATGGATTCTTTGGTAGGTCGGCCACTCTGCTTTAATTCACGGATCTCAGCTTCAGCTTGAAGGGCCTGGGAGTCGTCCTCAAGCTTGTTCCTCAGCTCATGTAGGAAGGTGTCAATGTTCCCCAGCTCTGGTGCATCCTCATCATGGAGCTTGATCACCAATTCAGTTGCCTCCCCCTCTAGGTTAGCTGTCACAGCATGGATCATCGCTCTGTCACTGTTTGTGGTCATCAGGTGGTTACACCTGATTCACGAAGAATGCCAGTTTCTCCGGGTCCCTGTTGAAGGCGGCCTTCATGGCAGGAGGGGCGAATGGACAAGGAGGTGGAGGTGGAGGGGCACGAGGTTGCGGCAGTGCCCAAGCCGGGACCCCAGGGGTAATATGCTTGTGGTGGAGGACCTTACCATCCTGGAGGGTGGGGCGCATGGCTGGGTGGGCTTGCTGCCCAACAGTGGTTGGGGGGTGTTGAGGTAATTCCCCGTTAGGAGAATGAGCGCATACAGGGAGATGTATTTGAGAGTAGCGTTTGAATAATACACACACAGTACACAGATACACTGTACAGTAAATGTAGGTTTTACTTCCAGACAGTTTAAACAAAGTTCAAGATAAGCAGTCCAAAAGTCATTCGCAGGTAAATCAGTCAGTTTTTCAGTCCAGGGATAATCCAAATATCAAAGTCCAGTGTCAAAAAACAGTTCAGTATCAGACTTACATTAAATCCAGTAATATCAGTCAATTAGAAGAAATGGAGCAACGGCAATACTTTCCAACAGAAGGAAACAGAGATACACTTACACTCTCTTCTGAGACTCAGACTAAACAACTCAGGTTTCTGGCTCCATCTTATGTCTGTTTGAGAAACCACACCCAATTGCATGCTCTTGCATTCCCTTAAAGATATAGTACTAAAATGTTTATCTTGGTTTATATATTTCTAACCCAAATACCTGTTAGGTGACTTATATTCCTAACAGGGGGGCTCCGCTGTGGGCCTGGGCTCGACTGCTGTGGAGGAAGACTAGCTGGCTGTGTTGCTGCCACAGATGAAAGAATATTTAACTCTCCTCATTGTCATCAGTTACATTGTCCTGTGAATATGGATAGCAGGCTCCTCTCCTTCTTCACCAGCTACCTATTATGATGATCTTGGTTCCCACAGGAAAACTTTTTATTTTGACCACAGAAACATTGGTTCCTGCTGTCTACACACCAGTAACAGCTATCTGGAATATGTATGGGCAATCTCACAATCTCTTCTTTCTCCGAGAAATTTCAGTAGCTCAGATCCAGCAGTAAGTTCCAAATTCAGCTGTAATGTTGTCCCCCTGTTCTGGAACATCCATTTCTCACTGGAAGTCTCTGGACCAAGGAAAACGTTTTACCTCTTTTGACATTTTGTTGGCTTTTAATCTTCTATTGGCTGTCTTCCTGATACACAGATACTACCTGCCACGGAAATTTTCACGCTGCAGTGTTGATGAATACAATCAATTTCTGGCTGAAGGAGGAGGAAGCTGTCTCTTTAATAAGCCTTTGAAGGTAACATTAAAACACTTTCATTTGATCACATTTGTAAATAAAAATTATTTCCAGACAACATTTTCCATCTCTTATATCTTGGCAATTCCTGGAACTATAGTCAAACCAAATTCTTGTTTTGTGATCAGAATATCAGCCAGAGATCTAGGTAAGGTAGGACCATATTTTTCTTAAGGTACTTTAATAGGTGTACTACCTCTCAACTGACCTCACAGAATTGTTGAAAAGATCAGTTTCAATTTTTAGAAAAAAGACAACAATTAACTCATGTTGCACTTCATAATTGTTTTCTTGTCAATAGTATGAAAGTAATTTGCAATTTGGAGTTTTTTTTCACTTTGCCAATCTGCTCTGCAGTTTTGTGATTATTATTATTATTTTTTTGCAATCTAAGCCCCATTTATTTTTTGAAGACTTGTCATCAGCATGTGTTGCATAGACTTCAGCCAATGCTTTAGGCAAGCTTGAGTGACTTAGATCCAGTGTAAGGCATCCTATAGAGAACGTTCTCTTGAACATAGTTGAATTAAGTTAACATTTTCAGTATTTTAATTGGTTTTAAGCAACTGATATATATAATATATAAGATTGCATGGTAAACTGAAGGTAATTGCTAAAATCCAAGCAATATATGTGCCAATAGCAGTAGTCAATTCTACGAATCAAGTGGTGGGATTAAAAATTTACCACCACTGGTTCTGTGGGTGTGGCCAGGTGGGCATGTGACTGAGTGGGTGTGGCCAACTCAACATCATTCATGGCATGGTACCCACTCAGTCACATGACCGATGTTGCAGAAACAGGGCGATTTCCTACGTATCTTTCCCTCCCCTACGCCCTTGGGCTGGCAAAAGTAAAGAACCACACCAGCTCGTCAAAGTATCTTAAAGGGACAGACTGCGGCAGCTACCAAGTTTGGCAAGTCTTCTTCTCCTTCTTGGGCATACACACAGAGCACGCCGTGCACAAATTTCATGGCGCTGGAGGGACTTTTCCACGCACCATCTCCTCGCAATAGCCCCACGTGTGCGCACAGTGTGCGTATGCCTAAGAAGGAGAAGAAGACTTGACCAAACTTTTCTGCTTCCCTCTCTACTGACTCACACTGGCCAGGCAAGTGAGTAGCATCGCGTGCGGCAAATGTCCTCCCAGCAAGCACAGCCATGCGGCTTCCCAGTCAGGGGGAAGAATGCTCTCCCGTTCTCCCACCCAGTGCAGGCCGCCATGTGGCTTCCCAAACGGGGGAAAACACTCTCCCATTCTCTCAGCCTGTGCAGCCATGCAGCTTCCCGGCCAGGGGGGAGAATGCTCTCGTTCTCCCAGCCAGCGTTGCATGAGGGAGGTAGTGCAGCAGCCTAGGCTGTCCTGGGAGCCGGCACTTGACCACTTGACTGGTGCTTGTGTAATCAGTCAGTCACCCAGGGTGTTCAGGACCACAGCGAAAGTCAGGCAGCAATGGCAGGAGAAGGCAGGTTAGCAATGGTGTGGTGGGTGAGATGAGGAGTGGCTGGGCAGGGCGGGATGAGTGGGTGGCAGGTCAAGCGGGCAGGACGAGCGAGGCGGGGCAGAGCAAGCGGGCAAATAGGGTGAGCAGCATCCGGGTGGGTGGGAGTGAGCAGCGACAGGCAAGCGGGTGGGGCCAGCCCAGGGGTGGTATTTGCCAATTCTACGAACCACTTCAAATTTTCCCTACCGGTTCACCTGAACCAGTCCGAACCGCTTGAATACCACCCCTGATATGAATCATAAAAGTTTAAAAGTCAAAATAAATTCTATCCAAGATATTAAATATCTATTCTGATTTAATACATGTTGTAGAATATTAAGTCCTTGCTAAAAAGAACCCTAAATTTTGAATGTTCTACAAGCATATGTATAGAACGCTAGTTCAAAAATGTTTCCAAGTAGAATTAGATTTTGTGTAAGATTTACTTCTGAGATGCAAAGTTATTTGGAATGTCAAGGCATACTCCCACCAAATAATTAGCCATTCTTTGGCTTAATTAGCTATGTACGTTCTTTCCAGCAGGAAGCATAAAGAATCTTTGCTGCACTTATCAATATTAGTTTGATGTAGTTTGTGGGAATATAAAAGCAATATTTAATAAGAAAATAGATTGGAAAGACATTAGTTTCATTCTAGTTTAAATAATTTTCCAGTTGCTAAACTCTATAACAATGCCACCAAATATGAAAAAGAAATTGATCTGGTCATTACAATTTCTATCAAGTGTTAGAGTATAAGCTTTCATTTTAGCAATCAGTATTGGAATAATATATCAACAATAAACATCTTACATCATGTGTATGATATTTGATGAAAATACAATGCTTTTCTTTAATTGAGATTTCCATTGTTACTTATTAAAAATAGTTTTATTCAAATATATCACCATTTCTTAGTTGTATTAACAAAGCTTAACATAGATGATCCTTATCTATATTAACATTATGTGGTTATTTAAATCATGCATTTTGTTGCTTTATAGTTATTTGTTTTGTTTTGTTTTAATTCTATTTTTACTTTGTTTTGATTGTTAGCTTCTCAGAGTCATGTATTCATAAATTTATTAAGTTAATAAATAAGTGTTAGTAATTATCAATTTTACACTCTCTAGCATATAGAAACAAATACTGAACATATAATACATATATTCCCAAATTTGCTTTTTTATTCTATTATTTTACAGCACAGTTTTAAAATTTCTGTCCCTGTCAATTTTATACTTAATGGGGTTCTTTATTAAGTAAGTTAAAAACTTTCAGTTTCTTAGTCACACTGCTTATTTCGATGTATATATGATATACAATGACAATAAAAGCTTTGAACTTTGAACTTTATGTTGGGTGATATAAACTGAATAAATGACTGGAGCTAACAAGTAATCTTAACCTTATTCAAGGCTCCTTTTTTAATATAAAAAAAGAGTAAGGGATTTCCTACACATCTCTATGATCCCTGTCTCACCCAAAAGCATTAAGATTTTAAAATGATATTCAAAGCAGGCTTATACACTGTTTGGTGATCCACCCTAGGAAATAAGGAAACCCTTTCCATCCCAGAGAGACATAGACATTCTTCCTTCCCAAACATAATCAAAGTGTAACTCCAGTAATTTTTTGTTCCATAAATTCTTTGAATTAGAGCAATCTTTTTTCTACAGTACTAAATGAAGGCATGAGCTTTCTCTTGACTGATTAAAGACCCTAGAATTTAACATTATTTTGGTATCTTTTGCTGTTCCCTTAGATGCAAATAGATTGTACTATTTCAGTCAAGATAGAATAATCAAGATTGTAGATTAAGATAAGTGTTGTAGCATAACTATAAATAGGTGAAATTTTGACGGTTTTATATTCCAAAGACCAAGATCCCCAACTTTTAAAACCTCATTGGTGTAATGGCTTTGCTTGAATGGTATTGGGCCTACCTTGCCCTGAATAAGCCAATAAATTGATACATCTCTGAGAAAAGAACCATCTAGCATATATAGATATTGTAGGAGAAGCAGTTTCTCTTAACGTTTGCTCTGCTTTAGGAAAGATATCATAATTTTAGGCATTTATGAAGTACTATATAGCAAATTTGTTTCCCAATGGATATTTGACAATTAAATCCCAAAATTCCTTTGCCTTGCTATTATGTCATAATTCTGAATATCATTTTATCATAAACAGTATAGTGTCATTCTGAGTTCAGTTTGCTTAAATTATGGTCCCGTATGAGGTGACAATTGGTAAAATAATGGAGGAATTTACTTTAAATTATTGTTTACCTTTAAAAAATTGCTTTCACTTTCATTGTTGATTCCTCAAATCTACCACCTCCCAAAATGGAAACATAAAAAGGAGAAATTTCAAGAGAGTTTCTTTATCTCCATTTTCAAGCGCCAGCGAGTGATGTAGATGAACATGTTATTAGATGATGTCATGGAGCCTTCTAATGATTCCATTTCCTTCACTGCTATCTCCTTAATGCAGCTCCTTGACCCTCCTGAATGTGGTAATGGATTTGTTGAAGCAGGAGAAGAATGTGACTGTGGGTCCTTTGCGGTAAGCAACAACTGAGGCTAAAAAAAGGTGCCATCTGACTCAAAATAATATTACTAGTGTGTGAGATGGAATGCTATTACCAGGCTTTGAATTCTGAGTTCTGTTTTATGCATGCTGAAGAATATCTGTTATTTCATCTGAACCCCAACAGTGCTCTTATCAAAGGACAAATTTATTTTTCTTCAGAATGTTTTTTTAGATCCATAAATGTTGGGACAACCCCAATATTAATGCTGGATAGAATCAACCAGCATCTTTTGTCTGAGCAAAGGCTCAAAACGAACAAAGACTTGCAACAAAAGTCAAAGATAATAAAAAAAGTTCCTTCCAACATATAAATAACAAGAAAAAAATCACGGAAACAGTCGGTCCACTAAAGAGAGAAGACGGCAAGGAAGTAACAGGCAACAGAGAGAAAGCAGAACTGCTTAACTCATTCTTTGCATCCATCTTCACACAAAAAGAAACTATAGCTCAACCCACCAAAAACATAACTGTAAAAGACAGACCAGAAATAAAAATTAAAATAAGCAAAAAAATAATAAGAGAACACCTGTCTGATCTTGATGAAAACAAATCACTGGGGCCTGATGGATTACATCCCAGAGTTTTAAAGGAGCTGGCAGAGGTCATCTCAGAACCACTGCACCATATCTTTCAAAAATCCTGGAGCACCGGGGAACTACCAGAGGACTGGAAAAGAGCTGATGTGGTTCCCATCTTCAAAAAAGGAAGAAAAAAAAACAGACCCAGGAAACTATAGACCAATCAGCCTAACATCAATACTCGGGAAGATACTGGAAAAGATAATAAAAAAATAGATCTGCCAACATCTAGAAACAAGTAAAGTAATAACTAGCAGTCAGCACGGGTTTGTTAAAAACAGATCATGCCAAACCAATCTCATTTCATTCTTCAACACAGTGACTAAATTAGTAGACCAGCAAAATACTGTGGACATAATATATTTAGATTTCAGCAAGGCATTCGACAAAGTAGACCACAACCTACTTCTTAGTAAGCTAGAAAAAAGTGGAATAGATAGCACCACCACTAGATGGATTCGTAACTGGCTGGCAAACCGTACTCAACGAGTAGTCCTTAATGGGTCTAAGTCTACATGGAGGGAAGTAAGCAGTGGGGTGCCACAAGGTTCTGTCTTAGGCCCAGTACTCTTCAATATCTTCATTAATGACTTAGATGAGGGAATAGAAGGGGAACTTACCAAATTTGCAGATGATACTAAGCTGGCAGGAATAGCTAACACCCAAGAAGATAGGCTCAAGATGGATCTTGACAGACTAGAACACTGGGCCATATCTAACAAAATGAAATTCAATGTAGAGAAAAGTAAAGTCCTACACTTAGGCAAGAAAAACCAAAAGTACACATATAGATAGACTGGGTGAAACCAGGCTCAATAGCAGTAACTGTGAGAGGGATCTTGGAGTGTTAGTGGACAACCAGCTAAATATGAGCCAGCAGTGTGCAGCAGCCACCAAAAAAGCTAATGCAATCCTAAATTGTATTAACCGAGGGATACAATCAAGATCAAGGGAAGTACTAATACCACTCTATAAAGCCTTAGTAAAACCACACCTAGAGTGCTGCATCCAGTTTTGTTCACAACATAATAAAAAGATGTTGAGACTCTAGAAAAAGTACAGAGAAGAGCAACCAGGATGATTAGGGGACTGGAAGCTAAAACATACAATGAACGGTTGCAGGAACTGGGCTTGGCTAGTCTAGTAAAGAGAAGGACCAGGGGAGACATGATAGCGGTCTTCCAATATTTGAGGGGCTGCCACAGAGAGGAAGGGGTCAAGCTATTTTCTAAAGCGCCTGTAGGCCAGACAAGGAATAATGGATGGAAACTGAACAAGGAGAGATTTAACCTGGAAATAAGGAGAAACTTTCTGACAGTGAGAACAATCAACCAATGGAACAGCTTGCCCTCGGAAGTTGTGAGAGCGCCATCACTTGAGACTTTCAAGAAGAGATTGGACTGCCATTTGTCAGAAATGATGTAGAGTCTCCCGCTTGGGCAGGGGGTTGGACTAGATGACCTACAAGGTCCCTTCCAACTCTGATTATCTGTTATCTTATCTGTTTTACTTTGGTATTGTTCAAAATCCACAAAAACAAATATCTGTTCAGACCTAGTCTTAGCAGGAGCAAAAAACAGACTCCTTGTCACACAAAAAAACCCATTTTTATTTACCTCTTATGAATTAATTGCATTCACCCACCAAAAAGTCCAGGCTATAGTCCTTCAAAGAGTTAACGGCAGCAGTTCCTTGTGATAATTACAAGGCCGTGAGCTCCCAGCTGAAAGACTGCAAATTAAGTTCTGGCAAGCAGTCTCAATGAGCAAAGTCTTCAGAAAGATGAACTGTTGTCTCCTCCGACAACCACCCCCCTTTCCTTCTATTTATTTCCCCAGCCATGGAAGGGCCATTCAGCGTCCATGTGTGCTTGCTTCCCAAGTCAATTCCCTGACCTTCGTTGTTCCCCTCTCCTAACAGCTCTGTGCATACGTGCATCTGGAACAGACCCCAGCTGTTCCTCCTCCCCACTCATATCAGTCTCCAAAGGCAGTTGTCTCTCTGGTGGCTGGGAAATATTGGATGGCCCTGGCTCTATCTCTGTGTCCAACACAGAGCACCCATCAGAGCCTTCCCCAGACTCCAGAACTGGCCCAAGTTCCTTCCCAACCTCCTCATTGTCCGACTCTGCCACCAGCTCTGCTGGCAGCTGGCAAGGCACAACAATATAATCTGTTCATGATATTTACGTCCCAAAAGAAAGTGTTAGTAAAAACTAGAAGCAAACATTATGGAAATTGATGTTATAAACAATATAGTTATCTCAAGTGGTAAAAGGAAAAAAAAAAGATTTTTTGAGAATTGATTAAATCTGCACATAAAGCAACGTATGTTAGGAAAACTTGCAAATTCAAGTTTTCATATTGGAAACTTCATATTTCTACTGTATTCAAATGGCGGGTGGTGGGGGTGTTTGAAAATAATACCCAAATCTCTAAAACAATGTTAGTTAAGATCTAAAAAAAAAAAACCTGTACTTTTCTTGTTCCAACTTTGACCTAAAATCCCAAGCAAATCAATTGTTAAATCAGTTGTTTTTCTTTTCTCAAAGGAGTGTTCCAAAAGTGGGGGAAACTGCTGCAAGAAATGTACCCTTACGCATGATGCTATGTGCAGTGATGGGTTGTGTTGTCGAGAGTGCAAGGTAAACAAGTTGGAATGGGACATCTGTCACTCGATTCTGTGCCCACCTCTCACGAGTTTTAAGCAAAACTATTCTTCTTGGGAGTTACACAAGCAGGGCATCATCCGTGCTTGCATATCAATGCTGCCTACAGAAAACAAATTGTAAAGTCAGGCCAAGGTGCAATTGGGTGTCAGCATACATATTTTGAGGTGTCTCAAATATGCATGATTTTCTACAAAATATTTCTGAACAGCTCAAAGCATTATACTTTACATAAATCATGGGAATGAAGGGGTGATGGGGTTCAGCAGCCTCCCCCTTGAACAAGTCTTCACCTACTTAATTCTTGCAGCTTCACAGTGTGAGGTATTCCCAACTCATGGATGGATCCCTGTGCATGTTTAATATTTACAGCACAAATCTGTGGATGGGTTTGGTTAAGAGCTGAGACATGCTTTCTTTTCTCTTTTGTTGCAAAGAGGAAGATGAAGAAACTAGGATTATATAGAGCAGTAAGCCCTGTTGCTCCTTGCATGGTACTAGGGATAATTTAGTTCTCCGCTTTTCCTGCATTGAGAGTGGGGGGGAAAAGAAGGAGGTTAGAGAAAGCCCTCACCCGAGATACTCTTTGTTTTATTCTTCCTTTGCCAGCTTAGTATTAAACTCCACTTTTATTTTTCTCCCATTTTCTCCCATGAAGTATGAGCCACGAGGTGTAACTTGTCGAGAAGCTGTGAATGAATGTGATGTCCCAGAAACTTGTACTGGGGACTCCAGTCAAGTGAGTTGGGGGAATTATAAGGAATGTGATTTACGAGTAGATGGGGGCAGGGTGAGGGATAACACTGTAACCTACTCGTCAAAGGACCCATATTTTTGTTGGTTTCTGTGCACAACAACTGATGGCAGGTTGTCTTTATTATTGAAAAGTTCGTCCAGAATTTTATTTTCTAAAAAAGAGATGTTATGAATAAAATTGTCTTGAAGGCATATTCCTTTAAAATGGGCCCCTCCCTTTTCTAGCCTTCCTAACCTGATGCCCCAAATATGTGCCATGGAGGATGGAGGATTATAGAATGTTAGCTATACGTCTGGAGCATACTAGGTTACCAGTTTTCCTGAGTTGTATTTATCTATATTTTGTCCTTCTTGATATAATTCTATTTTTTCTCTCTGTAGTGTCCAGCTAATGTACACAAGCAGGATGGCTACTTTTGTGAGAATGAGCAGGTATAGTTGGTATCTCAGTTTCATAACTAGAATTCCTGGAACTGCAGGAAATAGGAGGGGAAAGGTTAATTGCAGTTGGACCCATCTGTCAATCCCAGTAAAAGGAGTATCTTTGGAAAATTGTAATTAAATCAGATTGAACAAGGAACAAGTTTCTCAATGGTTATTTAAACAAACAAACAAACAAGCAAATAACTAAAGGTTAATGTGGAATTGTAAAGCCAGATCTGGATTCTCAAATCCCATAAACTGGGTATTACACTTCTCTAAAACATGCAAGTTGAGAGGTTCTTGCATGAGCCTCTAACAAGTCCCATTTTCTGCTGTGTAGGGCCGGTGTTATGGAGGCCGTTGTAAAACCAGGGACCGCCAGTGCAATGCATTGTGGGGGCGAGGTAAGTAGCTATTCACTCGTAGAAAATAATCATCATAACTAATGAGTGCAAAATCTAAATAGCCAGTATGCCATATAAAAGTTTTTTTTAATCTCTTCGCTGCCATCTAGTGGTAATGCAGACCTAGCTGTACAATATAATGGCACTTATATTTGAGTGACATCTGGTAATATCCGTGCTGGAGATGGAATTGTCCTCTGGTTAGAGAAAACCTATTAATTCTATTATCACTTGATTGAGATACAGTTTGATTCTCTTCTTTTATGCATAGCAGTTTGCTAAGCAGACTGCTTGAACTCTGTTCTGGAGGTTTTTTTGTTAGCAGCATTCTCTGGAAATAGTTAATTGCTTGAATCAGTGAGGGGAACAGAAGATGCCCCTATTGCTGTTTTTTTAGGGCTGATTGTAATCACCCATTAATAGCAAACACCTGCATTTTGTTTGTTTTTCCATTATTGTTTGCAAAAAACACAAACTATTTAATCTAGAGAAAGAGGTGGCTGTGGGATGAAAAAAAAAACCAGTCTTCGAAATTCATCCAGACCTACTTTTCAGTAACACCAGGCAATTTCATTCTGAATAGTTATGCTTGGCTTTTGTTCTTTCTTGCATTCATCTTCTGATTTTTCCAGTGCCAAAGAAGAAACCAAAGGCATGAATTTTGCATTATTTCAAGGAATTAGAAAATCATAATGGGGGAAGGGCCACTTAGGCCTCCCTATTTGGGGTAGGAATTCAAATTAAAACTTCTCTACCAGATGGCTCACTTTCATACAAGCAGATGGAATGAATGGGAACTCTCTGGATAATTGGCTTCACTATCAAACTGCTTCTTACTGTTAAGTTTTTTTTCCCACCTAACATTTAATCAGCATCTGGTTTTCCATGACTTTAATTCATTATTTCATGTCCTGCAATCTGAAAGAGAAAAAGTTTTCACTTACTGCTGACATACTTTCAAATATTTGAAAGGAGATATCTTATGCTGGCTCACCTCCATTTCTCAAGGTTAAGCATGTATAGTTCCTTCAATTTTACTTCATAGGAGTTAATTTTAGTCCCCTTTTAATCCTCTTTGTGCTTTTATGAACCTGTTTCTGTTTATCTGAAGCCTTTTTAAAATGTGGTAACCAGAACTGAACACAATATTTAAGGTGGGTAGGCCAACATTGCAGAATGAAGTGGAGCTTTGATTGTTATTACTTGGAAACTACTTTAGTAAATGCAACCTAAAACTGCATTTACTTTTTACTTTTTGGTGGCCTGCATATTTGGTGGCCTAGTGCATATTAAGGGGCATGCATAAGTGTACCATCATGCCTACCGTCCCTGTCCTATTGTCCCCATTTATTCGTACCTATTTCCTGTATTCTTACTCATGTTTATACTTATATCTATTACCTTGTAAGTGATTGACAAATCAAATAAATAAATAAAATAAATATTCATATTTGGATTACAATCAATTATCACTCCAGTAAATACTAATACCAAGCAGGTATTCAACATTCTATAGCTATGCTTCTTAAACTTAAATAAATTGTTTCCTAATTTAATATGCATTAAGTTTCATATTCTTATTTTTAGTCATTTCTTTAAACTATCAAGATTATTTTGAATTTATTTCTGTGTTTTAGGGCATTATTTCCCAGTTTTGTGCAATTTTGATCAGCATCTCTTCATCATCCCTTAATAAATAAAAATATAATACAGGGCCCAAGATTAGTCTTACAATGTATGTCTTTCTATTTTTGTGAGATATCATTGATGAGCACTCTTCGAGCCATCTGTGTATTTAATTGCCATGTCACCCAAACTGTGGTTTACTAGTTTGTTAATTAAATGTAGTACTATGTTGCTGAAATAAAAGTAAATTAACTCTACAGTATTCCCAAAACCACTTATGAATTTACCCAATAAAAGTGAGAATTTCTTACTTTTATAAGAAAAATATGTAATTATCACACTGTTCTAAAAATGCGCACAGATTCATTATTTTATTGACTACTTTAAACTCTGCTGTATTAGTGTCAGAATGACTTTTATGTAATCCTTTCCCTCCTTCTTGAAGGAGCAAAACATGCTCTTTTCCAACCATGTAACACTTCACCTGTACTCCAACATCTCTCAAAGGCCAGACCCTCAGCAAGTTCCTTTAATATCCTAGGATGCAATTCATCTGGTCCTGGAGATTTAATGCAAAGTAACAAATAATGCCAAATATGCTTTCATCAGTCTCATACCTCGGTCCTGCCTTCTTCATTCTGTTCTTTACAATTTTCTGGGTCAAAATATGCCTTCTTGCTGGAGAAGATGGAGACAAATGAGCAACTGGTCTGTTGATTATCTTTTTTCTTATCATGGCTAAAGAAACACATATTTTTTTTTGTTCTCAGACTTCTTCATTCAGCTCAGCATGTTCTGAGTTTTAGCTTTCCTAACACACTTTCTTGAGTTCCACACTATTAGAATTGTTTGCAGTTGTTCTTTGAATACATCCTCTTTTTAGGAACATCTGTTCATTTTGTGCTTCTTTTCCCATTAATTTCTCTTACAGTGGAATTCTACTTATAATTTATTTGAGTGTGTTAAAATCTATTTTGTTCTTTCGTACCTAGTGGCTACAGGAAAAGAGGGTGGTCTGAAAGATACTGATTTAACTGCCTAAACTAGAATAGCCATGGTGTCCATGAATGGGGATTTTGTGTGTTTGTGCATGTGTGCATGTGTTATATGTGCATGTTCCTAAAGTGACCAATAGAAGCTTGACTGATTCCATACATTAAAGATCACCTGGTTGTGCCCATAAGAGAATGATTGGTGAAGTATGGCATATGTATATGTGGCCAAAAAATATATCACGATTTAATGGAAAGTACAGCTTAAATACCAAAACTGTTAAGGAAAATTGAACGTTGCCTGAAATAGGGACTGGGGATCAAATGCAGACCGTGTCATGATGACCAAGCAGTAACAAAGTTGTCAGAGCTTATTTGTATTGCAGTTACATAAAGGGGGAAAGGCCCTACCGCTTAATGCATCTTATGGAAGTAATTCATTAGAAGAAATGAAGAAAAATAAAGAAAAACTCCATAACCATGCAACAGCTGTGGATATAATGCCAATGGACTTAATTTGAAGCGAACAATTTGAGTCCCTCAATTGGGCTACTAATTGAAATTGGCACTGCTGTGCACTATTGCTTTATTCTAAATTAACACAGAAATTCCCAACTGAACTGTAATCTTGCAAGATCCTAGCCCTGTTATTTGCTTGCGCCAGAGATATTTACCATTATTCACTTTGCTTATTTCAACTTCTGCCAAACATTTAAACTACAAACAGAAATTAAACCCAATAGCCAAGAAAACAAATGAATCGGACTATTTGTGTATTTACCATATTTAACATGTACATATGTTGTGCTTTATAGAAAGCTGGAATTTCTATTGAAGCAGTAATCTAATTTAAAACACCCCTGCATATAAGGGAAAGGACTGGAAAATGCAGGGGAAGATTATGTGTTTATTTCAGTTACATCAACTTGCCTTGATAAGGCTTCTTTCAGAACCCAATAACTTCCAGATGAGTTGGATACCAATTCCTACAATTTATCAGCAGAGGACAGAAACTAGTTTTAACCTACAGTATCTGAAGGTTTCAGATTATAACAGATTGAATAAAATATAGCAATTAGAGACTCTGCAAATGCTGAAAATGGATTTAAACAGAAGAGAGTACATACCATGAACCCAAAAACAGCAGAAGAGAAGAACAGAAAGAAAAAGATGGGATGGGAAAAAAGACAAAACAAAAACCATCCACATCAGTGCCAATCCTTAGGGATTACTGGATAATCTGCCTTCTTATCCACCTGAATTAGTTCATGATTCCAGACAATACAGCCTCTTTTTTCTGGCTGTTGCTAAAATGATGTCTTCGTAGTGCAAATTAGGAAAGAAGGATAGGAACTTGATTTGGCACCATGAACATATTATTGTCCGTTATTTACTGAAGCAAGTTTTACTCGTTCCTTCAAACCGAAAAGACTTGAGGAGATTTGAAGCTCAATAAAAAAGCAAAATGTTTTTATCTTAGATAGCAAAATAAACCTCGAACAGTCTCCCCCCCCCCTCCCCTTGGCATTGTTTGCACATTTCCCATTTTAAGGATGGAAATCATGTACTTGAAAATAGTGTTTTAAAAATCTTAAGCACTTTTGGAGTTGGCCAAACATTGTACATCAAAAGCTAGGTCAGTAGAAGACTTCCAGATGTACAGTAAATAAATTTTTTAATTAACTGGGTTCCTTCCGGAGCTTCTCCATGCACCAGCATCACTGCTGACCTAGTGATAGAATGTATTCTCTTCATTGTCAAATATAGAATATTCTTCAGTATTTAATATGTGAAGTCCATGGTTATTATGCTCTTTGGCTTGCTGTTACTCTCTTTCTCACTTTTCTTCCTGAAAATCAAGCTTCAGCTGAAAGGTTTTGCTACGAGAAGCTCAATGTTGAAGGCACTGAGCGTGGGAACTGTGGGCATGAGGGAAACCGCTGGGTGCCCTGTATCAAGCAGTGAGTAATCTGAGATTTCTCCTTTTTCCATAATATCCTTTCCCATAGTGTGCTGAATCAAACCACACAGAGGGAAATCACTAGAATGCCATGACCAATAAGTTGAAGCAGGAGCCAGTCTTTTTAAAAGTATGTTATGTTTCTCTCCTCCCATTCCAATTAGGGATGTATTGTGTGGATATCTTCTCTGTGCCAATGCGACAGGATCTCCACGTATTGGTGAACTACTAGGCGAGATCACAACAATGACATTCTATCACCAGAAGAGATATATTGATTGCCGGTAAGTCTTGCACTCTAAGACCCAACTTCTTCATTCATGCCAACTTGCTGAAGAATTGGAGAGATGAATATAGGAATGTTATGGGCTGCAGAGTGATCCCCTCCCACCATAGAATAAGTTTCCGAATAATTTTGGGGAATGTCTGCCTGCCAGCCACAATCCCGAAGGCGCAGAATCACGGATTCCTTAAGGTGTATAATGTAATGCAATCTAATGAAGGGGGCTATGAAAATGAAGTGCCTATTGTCCTTTCTTCCTCAAACTTTTCACCATTGTCGACATGAACAAAGATATTTTAAAGAGCATTGGAATATTCCTTCACTCAATGGAGCTTTTTTTCCCCACCCAGGGGTGGCCATGTGCAACTGGTGGATGGCACAGATCTGAGCTACATAGAAGACGGGACACCCTGTGGGCCCAACATGTTGTGTCTTGATCACAAATGCCTTCCCGTCTCTGCCTTTAATTTCAGTATCTGCCCAGGCAGCTGGGGTGGCCAGATCTGCTTTGACCATGGGGTAAACATTCTAAATAAAATAAGTTGTGTTTTCTGTTTCTATTATATAATATTGCAAAAAAAAAAAGAAAGAAAGAAAGAAAGAAAGAAGGAAAGAATGAAATGTATCATTTAGCAACTATCTTGCCAAGCATGATCTATATTAATGCCAATATTGTGCCATCTGCACTTTTTTTCTTGGCTTTATTTACTTGCTGATTAAATATTAAAGATAAAATAGGAACATTCAAAATAAGAGCATGTCTTTCTTAAATATTCCTGAAGTGTATTTATTAATTAAATTTGTTAGCCCACCATCTTGCACAAGTTGGCAAGTAATGATGGGTCGTAGAGAAAGCTGATTATGATTTAATAATTACATATGGTTAACATGACCTACTTACAGTGTTATGGGATGCCAACAAAAAAAGGATTATTGCATTGAGGAACAGGCATTCTTCAGCATTATTAAATAATATAGACTTATTGTGGGAATTTCTACTTTTCTCTTGAAAGCTTCATTTTTGTCAATTCATTGTGTAATGGTATCCACTGAAGAAAAAAAAACATAGCTCAAGTAAGCACATAACAAATTTCTGGAAAAAGATCGTTGGAATGGCTTTGAGGAGTCCCACAAAAAGCATCTTGCTTAATTACAGGTCTGCAGCAATGAGGGCCAGTGCATCTGCTATTCAGACTGGACAGGAAAAGATTGCAGTGTCTATGATCCTATCCCAGATCCTAAGCCTACTGGGGAAACAGAAAAATACAAGGGTAAGTTTGTAGGAAAGAACTTCTTTGCAGACAGCCCAGAACAGTCACTTAAGTAAGTAATCAAAAAGGTTTCTTGCAGAAACCTTATTCTACCTGAAAGCCAGGGGTGGGATTCTACCAGTTTGCACCTATTTCCTAGAACCGGTTGTTAACATTCTAAGCAGTTCGGAGAACTGATTGTTAGAAGAAATTACTGGCCTAATCCTGTAAGGAAGGCAGGAAGGAAACATTCTGGTGTTGCTTACAGAAACTGCCTCTCCGTTAACCCTTATTACATTCTTGGCAGGACTAGACTTCCTGTCTCAGGAACGTCTCTGGAGTTTTTCCCCCCTCCTTTGCTGGTACTTTGCTTGTGTGGAGTGACCATTTAAAGTTACAATGGCACTGAAAAAAGTGACTTATGACCATATTTCACACTTACGACTGCATCCCCACAGTTATGATGAGAGGCCAGGTGAGGAGATGCATGCCTAGATGTGAAGGATATTGAGTTGGCCACACCCAGCCAATAACATGACCACCAAGCCATGTCCACACAGTCACATGACCACCAAGCCACACCCACCACCTAAGCCACAGAACCGGTTGTTAAAAATTTTGAATCCCACCCCAGCTGAAAGCCCTTCAGCCATTTTCCATTTTGGATCAACTCCTGTGTGCACTTTATTTGTCCTGGTATTTCCTGATTTTTCTGAGAAAAGGAGTGAGGAATGCAAGAATCTTCCAGGACTGGAGAAACTTCAATATACTGTATATTGCAAGGTGAATGATGTGGCAATCTACTGTTGAAATAGCCTTCTTTTCTCCCTTTTTTACTTCTTGGAATCTATTCTAATATTCTTCTTTTCCTATTTAAAAATAAACCCTTTTTCTGATTTCCAGAAGTTTTATATGATGTGTTATTGTAATTATTGAAATATTCCTGTTGTACAGCTGGGTTCTGCCCATTGTGCATGCATATCAAGAACACACATAATTGTAACACAATTCATTTTTGTCTCTTTCTCCACAGGTCCCAGTGGTACCAACATCATTATTGGTTCAATTGCTGGAGCCATCTTGGTGGCTGCTATTGTTCTTGGTGGCACTGGATGGGGATTTAAGTAAGCAGCGTCAATATGCACATATTGTGCTTCTCAAATCGTTGTGCCCTTGGGCTAGATTGCTTTGAGGTTTTCCTCTCTATTGCATGTATTACAGGTGCCTTTTGCAGTGGCATTTATTTGAGGGAATTGAGCCAAGGTATGGCCCATCCATCCCCAACTTAGTTTTGGGCTGAAGGGGAGGATCCTCTTTAGGGTGGAGTCATACAAGTATTCCACAGGTAGTCCTTGACTTACAATTGTTCACTTAATGACCGTTTGAAGTTACAATGGGCTTTCCCAGAGCTACTTATGACCCATTTTAAAGTTACAAAGCTGCACTCATCCCTGCGGTCATGTGATTGCAGTTTTTAGTGCATCATAATCGATTCACCTTTGTAATTGTTTGCACCGTCCCACAATCATATGATCATGATTTCTGACATTTTTTTTTGCTGGTTTCCTGCTGTTTTTTTTTTGCTGGGATTTACTTCTGGTTTCCAGCAAAAAAAAAAAAAAGCCAGTTGAGGAAAATGGATTTGTTTAGTGACAGCCACATTTACTTAATGATTGCAGTGTTCATCTAATGACCAATACAAAAAGAGTAGCAAAAATCAAATCTGGTCATATAATGCCTTAAGTTACTAATGCAATGAGTTATGGCTGAAATTCCAGACTCAATTACAGTTGTAAGTCAAGGACTACCTGTACTAAAGGTGCCATGCAACAAAAACGGTATTTGCAAGCTTGTTTCCATGATGCAAAACCTTATGATAGTACAGCAAAAGCATGGATATTTTTGAGCTAGCTATGTCTGACTACATGCCTGGACTGGAAACAAGGAGCAGACTTGGATGATGGATTGAATCTTTACTGCATTTTAAGTTGAAGCTGGTATTAAGAATCACTGGAAGGAACCATCAGTGAATAGAGAGGGGTGGCAAAGGAAGATGTATGAAAATGAGATGTTGGTCATCATGCAAGTTAGATGTTGGTCAATAGTCTGAATCCATTTCAGCAAAATAAGAATTGGCTATTGTAGAAAAATGTGACAAGTTGAGCTATAGGTCTGAAAAAGGTGAAGAGAGACAGAAGGTGTACAGTATGATGGAGACACAAACTAATATTTAATTCTATTTCCAGGCATGTAATGTGCTTGATAGACAAACCAAAGACACCCCCCTCTTGTGGTGAAATCCATATTTAACGTATCTGAGAATAGAAGTGGAGAAAATACAAAAATGGTTTTTGCTTAAATGTGGTATATTTTAGTTATTATCACAAGATGTTATATTGCAGGGATGTCAAACTCAAGGCCTATGGACCAGATCCGGCCCACAGTGTGCTTAGATCTGGACTACAAGGCCAACCTGGAAACAGCAAAGATCAGCTTACAGTGCCTCTGCCAGAGAAAGTGGAGGTCAAGAGGGCCAGGTGTGGCCTTCTCAGGCTCTGTTTTTGGCTAAAATGGCCTCCTGCAGTCCTCTGCCAGTGAAAATGGAGCTTGTGGGGGCACACCCCCCCCCCCCCAGCTTGGCATTTGCTGGCAGAGGACTGCAGGAGGCTGTTGCGGCCGAAAACTGGGCCTCAATGAGTGACATCGAGCTGGCCATGCCCACCATAGCCACACCCACCCCAGTCACGCCCCCGGCCCCCTGAGGTCAAACACAGTCCTGATAGGGCCCTCAATGAAATCGAGTTTGACACCCCTGTTATATTGGAACAAAAGTGTGACCAAAAGTGTTCAGAAGTGTGATATATTAAAATTGCATTGTAGTATTTTCCACTAATGAAAATAATATATGGTAAGTTTTAGGATACTTCCTAGTGGGATTGGAGAGAGCAACAATAAACTGAACTGGAAGAATTTTATAGTGATCTACTCGCAAGGATTGCCTGATATTGTTGTAATTTTGTCATACAGTTTCTTCTCCTCTTAAGATGCTATCTTGCTGGTCCCCCAACAGTTAAAGCAGAATTTCTCTTTCTTTCTCATCTTGAACATAATAAGAGAAATAATAACTGGAAGGGGACTACAAAGTGTTCTCATTACTTCCCCCTGCCCCCCAGACAAACACACGCTAGTTTCCTAGATATTAATGTTGCTGGTTTATGAAAGTTCAGCCAGAATGTTTCCTATTTCTTGTTGTATGTATAATTGGTTTTTGATTTTTTGGTTTTTTTGCCTTGGGTAAAAGTGCCATTTGGTTTATAGTTCATGCAGTTTGGTTAAGACTGTTGGCTTAGTGAGGGGAAGAACTATTTGGCAGGAGAAATTCAGATTGGGAAAGAAAAGCAGGGCTAAGACAGAAATCGAGGGACTTGCAGACCGACTGGGGGTAGCTATTGTTCCTCTCTGATTCACACCAGGCTTCCTGTTATGTTTTGCATGGATTGACAATTGCATGAAAGAAGGAGCGCCTGACCTGGGGTTGCACGAATCAGATACGATGATGATGGGGACATTGGCATGGAGGTGGAGTGGGGAACAACACTCCTTAAATATATATTCCATCCCCCAAAGCAGCTTTGTAAAATCCAGTCTTAAACTACACTTCCACTATTCTCAGCTTATTGGTAGGAGATAATATGAGAGTCATCCAATCCAATAGAGAGTTATCTAATATATCTATATATCTATATCTATATCTATATCTATATCTACATCTACATCTATCTATCTCTGTCTATCTATCTATATCTATCTATCTATCTATCTATCTATCTATCTATCTATCTATCTATCTATCTATCTATCTATCTATCTATTAATGCATAAGAAGTGGGAGAAGCTGCTTTGGGTATTCTGCTCATAACAAAAGCTTGAGGTACATTCTATAAAGTTAATTGTATCCCACTTGGACCCCCCCACCCAAGATCTCTTGCTGTCCTGCAGAGTTTATTGCTGATATGATATGTTGTATGGGTTTGTCTGTTTGCACTATTGCACTGGGGGTGGGGGTAAGGATATAAATTTTGCAGCACCACTGTTTGGGAGGCTGGAAGGAAGGAGACGTTTGAGGACAGAAGATGAGGAAAGCACCTTCAAACTGTAGACAATCACTTTGGTTTCTGAGGTCTAATAGTTCTGGAATCACAAACAACTTTTCTTGCTTCCCGAATCACATGAGCTCCAGGCATTTGGAATGTTGTTTTGGTTGCAAAATTTGAGTTCTTTCGTCATTGATTTATTTTTACCATCTGTTGGGAAAGGTGATACAAGGAACGAAAAAAGTAGCAGAGGGAACTTAATGGAAGGGTAAGGAAAATGGAGGACATCTGCCCTGCAGAAAATCCCTTTTCCCTGGCAGCTTCTTCTACATTCCCTCTAGATCTACGTGTGGTATTCTTGGTGTGCAATTACAAGTAAACTTTCTTTAATACAAGCAAACAACACTGACATGTAGTGTTTCCAGAAGAAATGCAGGCTGACACAGACTAAGAAGGTGAGGCTCACTTGCCTTGGAGAATGTGCTGCAGGGGAGAGTGAAATGAAGGTGCTCTTCTTTGCGATATATCCAGCCTCCCTTTAAGTTCTGACAGGAGCCACACGATCTAACGGAGTTCTCCAAGAATGATGGTAATTGGACCTCTGCACAAAAGTTGTCCTGGATGGTAAGAAGAAATTGCATGTTAGGCTAGTTTGCATTACCAACCATAGCATGTGGCACGAAGACTGGAGGCGGTCAGGCCAAGATGTACAGCTGAAGTTATCCGCTAACCCCTGCTCCCCCTCTCTCTTTCCTTTTCTCTCTTCGGCTTGCAAAGGAACATTCGCAGAGGAAGGTACGACCCAGCTCAGCAGGGCATGTAGCAGCTTCCCCGAGCACATCTCTCCATCACCTACCACCTCCATCCCATCCTCTTCATCGCCTTCTCCCTGCTCTTGCTGCTTGCAGTGATCCTTGGCGCAGAAGGGGCCAGAGCTCTCATGGAGGCCTGTCTCAGCAGAGAGAATTTCGTCTGTGCCGCCAGTTCTCTCCATGCATCCATCCATATCAGCCTTGTTTTCCGTTTCCTCGGTTGCTATCATGAGGGGATGTCTAAGTGAATAAGTAAAATGGCCACAAGTGTTCTGTCCAGGCATCTGATGAACCCCTGGTACTGCTTGCTGGATGATAGGGATGGAGATTAATCTTTCTCCAGATTAAGGCCCAAGTAACAATCTTTTATTTCATGTTATGGGAAAATGAACACAGGATTTTACTATATCATTTTCACGGTGGAATTTTTTTCTCTCAAATAGAAACAGTTTGCAGTGAATTATGTTGATTTTGAGATGCAAAAGATTTCCACATATATCTTCAAGGACCTCTCCATGTATACAATATAATATACACTTAAATTGCCAAAGATAGGGCATGTTTTAATTGGGAAAACACTCATTCTATTATAGAAGAGAGTAGATACAGTGCTGAATTAATAAAGCATCAAGCTATATTATAAAACAGCCTTCTAGAACCTGAAGACTTCAGGAGTGTTTAATATTAATTCTTAGATTTCCCAGCCAGCTGTGGAATCTATAGTTCAACGACGTTAGGAATTTGCCACGTAGGGGAACCCTAAGACAGGTGTTGCAGTCCTGATTTATAATTAATACCCCTGATATATTTGAACGAATCTACTTCTAAGTTGAAATGGATGCAATTGAACCTTCCTAGAGTGCATACATAGACTCACAAATGTTTACTTACATTTCCTGTGTTTTTTAAAGTTCCAAAATATATGTTTCTGTGGTGGTATTTAGAAATTAGGGGTTCCCCACCGCCAGTGAAACACATGCCACACATTTGCAGTTTTGAATGGAAAAGTGGCCAGTAGTGAAAGTATTAATCAGTGTAATAATTCTATGATTACTAAAATAATAACAATAATGATTCTTTTGCATAGTTTTAGTCTGATTTCTGTAGAACAGAAAAGGCCCATTTAATGGCACTAACAATTTCGGCTACTTGTTTTGGTTTATGTACATTCACTGGCTGTAGTTCACCCAATGGGATCTTTATGCGGTGGGGACCAAAATGTTTATATTCTTCATGTGGAAACAGAGCATATAAAGGCCTACTTAAGAAGATAAAACTTCACTTGAATCTAGTGAAACATCACTAGAAGATTGACTAGAACCATTCTGATGTGTCTACATGTAGGGTGATTATATCTTTCTCATTCTAATTAATAAATGCAAATCTTGTTTCTTGCCTTAGGAATATTCCCCTTTCTAAAGTCTAGGGCCTCATTCAAAACTTGGGGAAAACAGTCTGCCCCAGTATATGCTATGCAGCATACACCTGTGCTTTCCTGCTGCTCTCAGTGTATAATGCATTACTTTCTTGAATGTGATTTGATTGCTTGCTTGCTTGGCATTTGTTCTCATTTCATGGTGTTATTCTTCCTTGAAGTTTAAAAGAGCCAGAGTATTGGGGATGCAAAAGAGATTGTCATCTATATTTACTTGCTTTAAACATTAGATACTTATATAATTAAAAATTTTGTGTTACTGACATACTACCAAGTTAGTTTTGCTAGTCATGGATTGTATCATACAGTAAATAAGTGCCTTTCAGTATGGACTAAGTCTTCACAACATAATAAAAGTATTCATGTATTAAAACATAATAAAAGTATTCATGTATCAAAGGTAGATTTTTTAGGAAATAAATACATTTCTTTTAAAAGAAGAAATAGTCATACTGCACATATTTGAATTTTTCCATACATACAATACATACATGCATACATACATATTATGGTATTAAAAGGACACAGCCCTATGAAATACAGAACCTAAGGCTTTCAGAGTTTAAATAAACCTTTTTAATTTTTGCGTTGGAAAGGACTGAAAACTAATTATTCCTTTAATTTTTCATAAGTTAACAAGTTTTCACTATATGATCCTACAACCTCTCCCAAAGTATATTTCAATTGTTCATTCTATAATTGATACTACTAGTAACTCAAAATTCATTCTTCTGCCAAAAAGTAATGATTCAATTTTAAAGATATTTATACTAGTTATATTGGGAGATATGGAATAAATAAATAAAAATCTGGAACCAAGACTTGGATAATTTTGTATCAAGTATATTTAAATGTTAGCTTCAGAAAGTGTTTTTTTAAAATAAGCCAATTTTATTTCCAAATGTATCACCAGTTCCACTGGCTGGTGGAACATCAACTTAGTAATGTCTGTGGATTAAAATAATAATAATGAAAAATGTAGTGACCATAAGCTGATTTTTTTTATATCCTGAGAAATATTTGGCTTTTTGAAGCAAATTTGAGTTAGAAAAAAAGTGATTATTTCTATATTATTTACAACATGCAGTAGTTTTTGTTAATAATTCTGTATAAACAGAGCAAGTAACTTGGTACAAATTTGGTATATATTTTTTCTGACAAAGCTTCACTTAATCAGTGAAGATTTTAATGTAAAAATGAGAAAAAGCTAAAAAAAATTAAATCACTGATAAAACCAGTCAGGCACACCCATCTGATAAGGAATTATACTGATTAATCCCCCCCCCCCCTTCAAATGGTACAAGGCTAAATCCCAGCAAAATGTTAAAAATTGATGGTGCAATGGATACAGAGCCCCTAAGATCCAGGCAAGGGCAAAATGCAGCCTATGTGGATCTTTGCCGTCATTCAGCAATCGGCATTCAACTGAAAGAATGTGAGAACAGGCCCTGGTTCTCATTTATTAAAAATAAAGACTTAAGGTTTATTGGATGTCTATTATATTTGTTTAATTTTGCAACTTTACAATTTCTAGAAACTTAAACGTTCTGAAATGGCTGCTATATGTCTGGCCTAATATCTCTGGTAGGAAGAGGAACCAGGTATGTTCTTTCAAAATATAAAATAAAACATGCAGTGTCTATTTTGCTCCTACACTGGGAAAACAGTAGGTTAACTATCACTCACAATATTTGTATTCATAATAAAAGACTGCTTTTGTTGGGTTGGATTATTATAAAGCAGTGGCACAGTTTTGAGGAAGACAACAACCAAGCTTCTAACGATGACATGCAACTTCCAAAACACTATTTTTCATAATCTAAAGCTGTGCTTTTCTCCCCTGGAAACTTTAAGATGAATGGGCTTCAATTTCCAGAATTCGTCAGTTGACCATACTCATTGGGGAACTCTCAAAGTTGAAGTCCACACATGTTAAAGTCTTCGGAGCTAAAAACAACAACACTGATCTACAGCATCAATTCCAGGTTTTGCTTCTGGATTGAGTGAGCTCACAAGGGAATAAGGAAAGGGATATTCATCTGGCTCTTTTAACCATACTAGGGAATCATCACAACAGCCCCATCCTCTCCCCCATCCTCCCCCATGCACCATCGTTCATTCTTCTTAGTACTCTGACCTTAAACAACCCCCTTGCTTCTGTGTTACAGGTCTGGAGGGGCTTAGCCCCAAATCCTAGCTTGATCTTTGTGCTTCTGGGTCAGTATTCTCACCATAGGGTGGAAAAGAAGGTAACAGCACCTTCTTCCTTTTCCTTTTCCTGGCCAGCAAATAATCAACTCCTAATCTACCAAGTCTTCCATTGATTCCTGGATAGACAAAGGCAGGGATGAAGCCCTCCTTTGAAGGGGCACCACGTTGCTCTGCTTCACTGTATGGAAAAAGATCTTCATGAAGGACCTCCGGCTCTTGCCAGATGCACCTTTTCCTCTCCATCCAACATTGTCTGGGGAAAAAGAGAGCCCCAAAACAGCATTTCTTCTACCCGTGCAGGTCTTCATATGTGCCTCACTTTACCAATCCCACCAAGGAATGTGCCATGTTGGAATCACCAAAATACTACACACAACTCAGGGGTATAACAACACTCTTCAGCTTCTGGAAGATGCCATTTGGAAGACATACAAGCCTGTTCCTTCCCATGAAGTAGTTTGAACAAAAGTGGATATTTGGGATATGTTTGGGTTCTGCTAAAATTTTGCTATGATTCCAAATCAGGGAATTGTGCATTCATGTCTAATGCTTAAAACATTACTGGGAGTGAAGAAATGACATGTATTCATCAATTAAATCCAAGCCCCTTCCGTATTTTTGTTCCTAAAAGTTTGAGCTATAAGCTTTCCTATTCATGCTGACTGCACCAAGAGCATGCCATTCTTGTTTAAAGGGAAAATAACAGAAACATGATGATAGTATGCTAAGGTAGTACTCTAAATAGACCAGACTTATTACCTTTGCCCTCTACCCCCACTTCCAAAGGTTATATTTTCTGTTTTGAATGTGATGGCTGTTTTGTTTGCACTATTGCAAACCAGTGTTGGGCCAACCAATGTTAGGAATAGTGACTTCTTGGTCGGGGATTGAGGGTGGAGCTAATATCACAAGTTTCGTAAGTGTATCAGAGCCCTTCTCCAAAAGTGAGAATGGACAGTTTTGATTTATTTATGGTTGATCTATTCCATCTCACCCCCCATTTTATTTCTTTTGTTTTAAACTTTTTTTTTCATCAGCACGAATGGAGAGGAATTATGTCAGCTTCTGAGTTCCAAAAACTGAAATCCATGGATTTATTTTTTTTCTTTGTAGAGATTTGCAAAAGCCATTATATAAGCTATGTACTTTTTATGTTTAGGTACACAATATACCATCCTTAGAAGTGGAGTGACTAATCAACCAGAAGCCAATCTTTCATAAAATTGTAATTTTAAAGACTACTCCCCCCCCCAAAAAAATATCCTTATTCTCTATCCCTCTGGTATACCAGAAAATGTCTGTATTCTAGGAAGCAGCTTTAAAATTCATTTTCAGTCTTTCAGAGCAATTAGATGTATATATGGGAAATAACCCCATGCTAAACCAAACACGAAATAACTCAGAGAATGGCGTAAGAAGAAATGT